AATTAGGGTTTTTTAAACTTATTTTATGCTATAAAAAAAATTATTACTATTTTATTTTATTTTTGCTTCTAAGTTTATATTTGCCTTTCTTATAATCAAAATATCAGATATGGTAGAAAAAATTAACCAATCAGAGTTTAAAAAGATTTCAATAATAGACAAAAGTTGACATTCTTCTTCACTTGCTATTTGTTGAAATGTTTTACACCATTTAGGTAATGGGGTCATCAACACTCTACCTTTTTATTTTTTTTTACAAAAAATTGTTACATGTGAGAGTGGTTGGTATAAGTTTTTTTTTTTTTAATTCTCAGTTACAAGAATCTTTGGTCACGTCATACAAGATTTTACACTTGTTGACAAATTTGATGAGAAAAGACACATTATAGTAAATTAAAGGAATGGTATTAATTTCCTTCTTTGATTTCTCTTTTAATTTCCAACTCTAATGGTGAAAACTCACAAACACAAAATTAATTATTTTTGGTTTGAGATATCTCAGTTTAATGCTTTCACAAAGGTTCTGTAAATGTTTGAACTTAAACAGCAAAGAAACAGAAGTTGTAAGAAAAGAGAAATTGTAAACCAATCAAATATTTTTTACTCAAACTAGGGTACACTTATTAGCTATGTTATATCAAATACACCAAGAGGATCTTATTCATAGATATAATTACGTAACTTTTTTTATTTCAAAAACAAAAAAGTTACTTGTAGTTTTTTTTTTAAAAAAAACTTTCTATTATTTTCTGACAACTCTTTAATTTTAATTTTTCATGTGCACGTCACCACTAGCCACTACCAGAAAACATGGACTTTATGCGTAATCTTCATTTAATTGACGTTAAAAAGCTTCTAGTTGATTGATTCTTCTTACAAACCGTCGTTTATCTGAAGCTAAATGAAATTAACTGTTCGTAGCTAATTTCTTGTTTTCTAATACTGTATGTGTTTAAAAATTACAAGATTAAATAATATTATTGGTACATTTGACATTATTTTAACTTAAGACCACACAATTTAAGTCATTTTCTAATTTTATTTTTTTTAGAAAATGGTATATCAAGTTAACATCAGACAAACAAATAAAAACGAGTGAAACAGTAACAGGGACAGAGCTAGATGGAGGTTTTTGATTCAGACGAACTGAGTAGCTTCTCTGTATACCACATATTTATACTAGAAAATTCAGTACATAACTTGTGTATCCCTAATAAGACGGATTGATAACTCAATGATAAAGAAACGGAATGAAATTTAGAATCGGAAACTCCTAATATTGATTCCGCATCTGTCCTCTCGATAGTAAATGTATGATAGGGATGAGAGATAGGGTGAGGGTACAAGTTTTAATTGTGAACCAATGAGAGAATTCTGCTGAAAATATGAGACAGACAGACAAGACTCTATCAAACTATTCACTTTACCTTACAATAAGGATTGAAACAAAACCCTAGGTGGGTAAAAAGCTATAGTTGATGGGTATTACCCAAGGAATAAACTGTAATTATGACGTGGCAATAATCTGAACCGTTGAAAGACTGGACCAATCATGTTGTGGGAAATTGTGCCAGGTTGGCAGAGAGCAGCCAATCAGTAGCTCGGGGAAATTAAGGTAGTATAGCAGAGTCATTCCCTCAATGTTTGGTTTTTTATATATATTTTGTTTCTTCAGTCTTAGGTCTAAAATTTATATACTACTAGAAAATATTGTATCAAATGTCATGTTTGAGTGGACACATTGAGTTTCTGACTCGAACCAACACTATTTTTAAAAAATAAAAATCAAGTTTGCGTGTTGGCATAAATTAGCATGAAATAAATAATAAAGTATTTGGATTTTCTTTACCTTTTAAACAAAAGGGAGGCTTTTTTTTAAAAAAATAATTATTATTATTATTTTCAAGGTGAAAGGGAGTAAGAGAAGTAAATATGACGTATGTTTTATAAAAAAAAATTTAGCAGGTTTACCATCGATGTTTGATATCTATTTTGAGGGCAGATATATTTGAGTGCGTGTTGGAAATTCCACTTTGGGAGGAAAAACACTTTTTTATCGAAGATAGACTCAATATACAGGACTGATCGAAATTGAAACTTTTGATTAAGTATGATTGAGTGTTTTAAAATTATATGTAAATCTAAATAATTCAAAACGAGTAACTAACATCCTTATTTCTTAGTACGTAGTTAGTTGCATAGAAAAATCCATATTTTCTTGTCTTTCATGTGAGGGACTTTTATGTGTCCTCACTTAAATTTTGATTTTGATTTGATTGCCATGAAAGATTTAGTGATCTTATATATGGTCTATGGACTCTTAATTATGACCATCTAATTTTATAGTCATATAGAGTAGTAATTTGTATATAATATATATATATATATATATATATATATATTTGTATGTGATTTTGTCTGTCAATAGACTAGTTTTTTTATGATTGAAAAGAAGCTATCAATCTAACATGTTGATGGTGTAGTGTGAAAGCAACAATCGAGAGGTACAAGAAAGCATGCTCAGATTCCTCAAACACTGGTTCAGTATCCGAGGCCAATGCTCAGGTATATATAATTTCATACACTGCAAATATTCTCTTTTTTTTTATTACTAGGATTACACTGGATATATCGTTGAAATATTCTTCTTTCTTTTGTTGTAATAACGGATCAATACTATTTTGGGCAACTATTATAAAACTTAGAAAAGAAGTCATTAATTAGCACTCTCTTCGTCTTCATTTATGGGAGTTTCGAGTTTTAAACTTATAAACTTTGACAATGAATTGCAACATACATTAGAGATGCATAGGTTTTCAAGTCTTGTGGGCGGAGTTTGAGGGGGTAAAGAGGGTTCATCTGAATCCCTTTTGCCAAAAGTAACATTAACACCTTAGTGTTTTTGTTATTATATTGCACATATATAGATATATAGGTGTTCTATTTAACAATATGTGGCATACATTACAAGTTAGCGCTCTTGTGGTAACTGTAAATAAAAATGTTGTTCAATGAATCCCAGTATTACCAGCAAGAAGCCTCCAAACTGCGCGCACAAATTGGAAATCTGATGAACCAAAACAGGTGAAGTTTTTAAAATCTTCTTTATCTTTACCTTTTAACAATTCCATGTGTGTGTTTTTACTATGTTGTTTTCAGTTTAACCTTAACTGCATTGGTTCAGGAACATGATGGGTGAAGCTCTTGCTGGAATGAAACTCAAAGAACTGAAGAATCTGGAGCAAAGAATTGAAAAAGGGATTAGCAAAATCCGATCCAAAAAGGTATTTAAATTAGTAACATTTTCTAACAACTATTTAGTACGATGATGGTATGAAATGAGATTAAATGAAATAATTCATATAGCAAACCCTAACTTATTTGGGACTGAGACGTTAGCTATTGTTTTGACGAAAATTACAATTTCTAGTTTCTTAACATTTGACGCTCAAATTACAGAATGAGCTGTTGTTTGCTGAAATTGAGTATATGCAGAAGAGGGTAAGTCATAGTACAATCTTTCATATACTTAGTTTTCATTTCAAGTTAATCGATCTATTTTTCGGTCATAATGTTTTCTATTTCATGTCAAATTTGTAACTTAATGGACACCAGCAGGAAGTTGATTTACACAACAACAATCAGTACCTGAGAGCAAAGGTCTATTTGTTTCTCTATCTAGTACTATTGTAGTTGACTTTTAAGTGCATCTGAAATACCCATAGTCGTCTATTTACATTCTTGCACTCAATAATCAATCAATTCGTTTAAGTACTAATTTAATACGCAGAAACTCATTGGTTTTGTTTTTGTGAGTAAATTTAAACAGATTGCTGAAACTGAGAGAGCTCAGCATCAGCATCAGCAGATGAACTTGATGCCAGGGAGTTCATCAAACTATCATGAGCTTGTGCCTCCACCTCAGCAATTCGATACTCGAAACTATCTACAAGTTAATGGATTGCAAACCAACAACCATTACCCTAGACAAGACCAACCCCCTATTCAACTAGTGTGAGTTTTCCTCTCTTTTCTAATATAAACATGGTGCTAAGTCAAACTAAGACATAAAATGAAGCGGTATTAAAGGTATGTCTTTTTTTTCTTATTTGTTGAACAGCTAATGTGCTTGAGAGATTGTCTTCTTTCTGATGTGATCTACATATAATCCACAAAAGAAGACTGCTATTAAGCTTGAAGATTAATGGAACTTAAGTATGTATACCATATTATTAATTACTTGTTGCATGAGCTAAGACTCTTGAATATTGTATGTTAATTAAGTGGACATGTATTTTTTTTGCTTGGTGTACTTCCTTTTCTGCCAGTGAACTATGAAGAATTAAGCTTGTTATATTAAGTTCACAACTGTTTTTCTGTCCAACTATGTTGCTCTTTTTCTTTTGTGCATATTTGGATCACTTCACATTCAGCTTCATATTATACAAAGTATTCTTACCTCACAACAGACAAATATTCCTTCGGGGCGGAGCCACATTATTAGGTATGAGTTCTCATGAATAACAGTTACTTTTGTTTTCACACCCCGTGTTTGGTACCCTACCCAAAGATTTTGTTAGTCAAGCTTGAATTCGAGATCTCTGCTAAAGGAAATGACAGTCGATACGTTGCTTTTGGTTAGACATGTATGTGTATTAGGAAATCTATATAGTTGAAAATTCACCAATTGATATTCCTACAGCAAAAAATCCATATTAGTTGAGTGTTAATTTCATATATTTGTGGTGAACTTGTCTTCATTAAAATATCATTTTCATCATTAAAATCCATCAAAAGGACCCAAATTGGTTGATAAATTCTTTAGTCCTTCATGATGAATTCATATTCTTTATGAGAATCAGCTATATGTAAGTCCTCTTGAATAAGTTTTTGAGATATCTTCACAAAGATGTGGGCTTTAATACTGGACCATAAATGGGCTTATTACACAATTTTGAACTGCACATTTGAAACTACACATGTATAGAACTCACAAGTTATGTGCAAAGCAATGAAGTTGAGATCTAATTGAGAATTTTGACTCATATTTGAAAGATCAATTACATCAAACAAGATGGATAAGCTATATACATGCCTAATCCCGGGATTAGTTTTGATAGGGATAAAAACTCAGAATATGGGAATGTAGTGTTACTTTTATCCCATGTTGAGGGTGGAATGACTTATCTCCGGATAACTTGAACCCTAACTAAACAAGCCCTAAAGTCTATATTATTTAGAGCTGAGCCAACTGACTAATGTCAAAAGGATAGACATGAGTGGATTGAAGAGCAGTGTAAGCTCTTTCAGCAGTGACCTTATTTGGAGCTTCTGAGGGGTGAAAACCATCCCAAAAATAATGTGCTGCTCTATCACTGCATGCACCTCCTCCATGTTTGCACAGCCCTTCACCTATAGTGCCCGATATTTCGCAGCATGGCTCACTTAGTTTTGTTATACCTGCAACCAAAATTTAGCTAAATATGAGGGCACGATGATTATATTCACCACGAATAACATTCTATATACAAGTGTACGACGAGAGCCAAATCTAAGAAGACGTGATCTAAGAGTCAGAGTCATTCTAAATCAACTAACTCTAGATCCTTAATTCAACTCTGGTTGTGAAAAGTTTTAACATACCGATAGATGAAGGATCCGGTACTTCAATGCTTGATGAATTTATGTAGATGAACTTTGCGTTGGGCAAATTACTGTTGAGATCATCGATCATAGGTTTAAGCTTGTCTGAGAATTTTCGAACTGCACTATCTATAGAGTTGATGCACACAGAGTCCCCTGTCCCATACATATCGAGTTCTGATGGAACACAGCCTATGCCTCCTAGACCGAAAACAACAACTTTTCTTGCTCCGTAAAGGTACAAAGTCTGTGGAGTAAAGTTAGTAATATGTAAACAAGAAAACTAAATTAGAGCAACTGATTAACAGAAACTCCATTTGTACCTTTAATTGTTCTGAGTATTGCTGAATTAGGATTGAAGCAAACTGTTCTGGATTGTACATATGGCTCGACAAGTACAACTGAGGCAGCAAGTAGTTATTGATATAATCATTGTTCCCCATTTGAACAATGTATATACATTTGCTCAGATACTCCATAGTTAAGGTCTTGTTTCCAAGTAGAGTAGACATGTGGGAAATTGTCTCGTTGTGATTATGCAATTGCCTATTTAAGCTGATTCTATCTCCCTGAACAATGAGAAACAGTAGAAGACATTTTATTGTCGTTAATCTAAATGTTCGTCCTAGACGAGGGACATGATGAATTATACTATTACCATATGAATTGCTGTTTCGTCAAGAATTCCAGCTGCACCAGATGCATAGTTCACTCCCTTAAACATATCCACACCCTTCACAGTAGCGAATGGCTCAATATACTTATCGAAACCCAACAGTTCAGCTGCAATTATAAGAAAACATTCAGTTAGGATCCACCAAATTATAAGTAGAAGTTTAGAAATACTCAATTAAAGTATGCTATTTGTACATCAGTAAAGAGTTGCTTAAAGTTAAAGCATTTACTATGCAAATACTAACAGAATAAGAAAAACAAGTTCCACGAGTGATATTTCACATTAATTTATTTCATCCCCATCTTTCAACACACGTCCTCTTTGCCCATCCTAAGTAGCCCCCATATTCACTATGAGACATCCTCTACCTCCACGACAAAAGTCTCACATCACTGGTTAATGAGATAGGCGAACTCCTTGTAAAGCTTGGGCAATCCTTTCTCTTTGAGCTATCTTTTGGGATGTGAGTTAGGACTAACACCTAATTCCACATTGTATCGGAGCAGGATCCGTCTCACCTGATACTGGAACTCCAAAATTAAAAATGTCCACGCACCAAATGCTAAGCTAAGGGACCACATTAGAAAAAGAGAGAATAAACAACAAAAAAAAGAAGAAGAAGTTAGGACAAACCAAGGAAATCTGCTACATTCCGGCCATTGGTGAATCTACCAGTAGGACCATCAGGAAAATCAATTCCATAAGGTGGATAATTAGCCTTTGCAGTAGTGAGCAGATTATTATTATTTCCATTATCAAATAAAGAATCACCCAAAACAAACAAACAGGGCACCTGTTGTTCACCTTTTACAAACCATGGTTTTGAACTCATACAAATTAACAACGCAGTCATCCTCACAAACCATACAATGAAGCTAATATTAGCCATTAAAGGAAAAAAATAGTTCAAATCAAAAAACTTGAGAATTTTTAAGTGAAAAAGAAATTCCCTTAACCAAAAAGATCTGATGCAATTCTTTTTTAGTAGCTGGATGTGGGCCACAGGCATAACCAGCATGTGGAAAATGAAACATTTTTAGTGGGGCAGTTGGCCTTGAAATGCCTTTACTTTTTTTTTTCGAAGTTAAATTTCAAAAAGTAAAATATTTCGTAAGTAAGTAAAAAGATATTTTCTCAAAATTATGCAAATAAATACTATAACCAATTAAATACGTGTAAATTATTTTCTTACACAGAGCGAAACTCTAAAATAACCAATTTACAAACCTAGAAAATAGCAAGAGGAAGTCGAAGGTTCTTACCGTATAATCACCGACGACGATGTATAGCCGGAGATCCTCATCTTGCCGGCGGACAAGAACGTCACAATCGCCGGTTGATATCATAAATGAAACTCAACGGTTCCAAAAGAGAAATGATAGGATATAGGGAACTGTTATTCTACTTTTATTTTAAAGACAATAATAATGTAGGTCCACATGTAATACGTAGAGTTTATTATAAAACATGCTTAAATACGAACTAAAAGTAAAAAAAATAAATTATATTTTGAAGTAGTTTACTGAAAAACATTATTTTTTTAAGAGAAATTTATTTTTATTTTTTCAAAAACTTGAATTTGTGGACTCAAAAATATAAGAATTCGGTCACCTAACTTATGAGTGTAAAAATAGCTCTATTTCCTAATCAAACGAACCCTTCATATTAGGTGGACTAAGCTCATTAAGAAAGTGCACAATTGAATTTTTTTGAATTGTAAAATTGATTGCTTCACAGGTAGTGAATATTTACTGAATTAAATTACAGTTGTCCACTATTAATTTGACATGTCTCTTAAAAAATTATAGATAAAAGAATAATTTTATTATTATCGCCATTTGAATATAATAAATACAATATTTTAAAAAATTATTATAATTAATGATAAGGATAAATTAGAAACTAAATATAAAATTATTCATTAATTTCATAAAATAAACAAATATAATTTTATTTATCAGATATCTCTAAAGGAACAATGAATAAATATTGTTGAACATATCAAAACAGTACACAAGTGAATAACTATCCTCGAATGGATGGAGTAGTAATGAAGAGTGGTTTGGACTTTGTAAAATTATTCTTGTAACTTTGTATACAAGATTTTTTCCTCTAGACACCTGTTTAATTTATAGATTTTTTATATTATTTTTTTTTAAAAAAAAGTCGTATATTTCACTTTGTAGCATAACAAATCAAACCTCACAAAGCGTGTATTACATTCGAATATAAAATAAGTAAAAAAGTTTAGGTACTCTTATATCTAAAAAGAAATATATGAGTAATTGTAAATTCGTTTGTAGTTGGACATATGTAAATTGTAATAGCAGTATTTTGATAATTTTAAAGTAACTTACTGAATAAAATATCAACGTTTTAGAAAAATTTAATTAAACATCATATTGTAAATTAACATAATAAATAAAAAATACAATTTATTAAAAATTTATAGCTGATACCACATGGCACATATATTATTAACAAGTTCATTGCAAACACCTAAAATATGCACTTTCGCAGGCAAAATTTTAAAACCCAATAAAAGAAAAAGGACTAAAAACACATCATTTTTTTTCTATAAAATAAAATATACAAAACCAGCATATATAATTAAAAAAGCATAACTGCAAAAATATAGGAGATTGGAGAAATTTTTAGTGACAATTAATTCTTAATTGCTGTTAAATATATATTTTTAGTGGTAATTAATAATTTTTGGGAAAATTGTGGAGAATGGCAAATTAAGAAATGTAATTATATCAAATAAACTCCCTTTCAGTTATTTTCTTTAAAAGAGAAACTCTCTCTAAGTTTGCTATACCAGGTCCCACCATTTTGTATAAAAAAAATTCTCCAAAATAAAATCCTCTTTTCCCCTTTGTCTGTGCTTTAAATACAATTTATTCTTCTTCATTCAATTTCTCCACAATTTTCTCCATTATTGTAATTTCAAACTACCAGCTTCTTCTATCACACACGTCATTGCGTTTTTTTAAACTATTTCAAAATTTTCAAGGTACTACCTAAAACTCATCTCACATTATCATTTTTTTGAATTTCTTAAAACTACCTTTTCACTTCACTTGTTAATTCCTTCAGATTTTTGGTTCAATCAATGAATGCCCAATCTCTATCTAAAAGATTCACAAGAGGTATACCATTGCATGTTGAAATTGATGTTGAACACCCATCATTTTCATTGGGTCTAACTCAGGAATTTGGGGAGATTTCAGGTTCATTGTCTAAATTTACTACCATTCAAGAGATAAGATCCAAATTCAATAATGACCAAAGTAGATTTGTTGATGGAGGTGTGAAGAATCTTGTCGATGTTGTTACTGGGTCAAGTAAGAAAAGGAAACATAAAGCTGATGTTATACCATTCATAATGATAAAAATGAAGCTGTTTGTTCTGGGTCAATCAAGCATCATAAGGTATCTGTATAATCATTGTTCATGTATATATTTAGATTTTATATTATATGTTTTGTTTTTGTGTTGAATCATGTCTTATACAATTGTAATTGTATAAATGTATAATCTATATTAGTTTATGTTTTTGTGTTTCTGTTGATTCATGCCTTATATAATACTGTTTGTATAAAATGTATAATAAATTCTTGTATCTGTTTATGTGCTTATACAATTGTAGTTGTATAAATGTATATTTTATATTAGTATAGTTTTGTATTTCTGTTGATTCATGCCTTATACAATACTATTTGTATAAATGTATAATAAATTCTTGTATTGGTTTCTGTGCTTATACAATTGTTCTTGTATAAATGTATAATATCTTAATATTTGCTTTATATTCATATCTTATACTGCCTAATTTACTGCCTCATTATACAATTTTGTGTGTAAGTGTATAATTTATCTACTTCAATAGCTTGATCAATTTTTTGAATTGCCTATAATGAAGCTATTACGAGTGAAGGAGTAAAAGAGAAAATAAAACTAAAACTGAGTTCGCGTGAATTATGGGATCTTTTTCCTTATTTATCTGCCGCCTATTTTTTTTAAAATTGAATTGTATAAAAGAAAGATATTTATTAATTGTTATACACAAAAAGTCACCCGTAGCAAACTTTTAATTTGCTACGGAATGTAATTTTGAATAGTTTGCTATAACCTATAATTGTCAATTTTTTCTTTGCTATATATAAAATTTGCCCATAATTTTTCCTATGTCTCTTACGTTTTTGGCGATATTGGATCCAATGACATTTAATTAATGTCGGTAAGACTTTAACACTTTTTATTAATATGTTTATTTATTACCGCTAAAAGTTATTTTTATCGTAGTGCTATACTTTCAAATTATTATGTATCATACACTATTTAAGAGTTTTCTACAAGATACTTAGATACATGTATTTTTGCTATCAAATAGATAAAATTGGGAGGAAGCGAGCGATATTCGTATGTATAGCAGATACATGCGAATCACATTAGATACATATATCTGGAGTTATTGGCGTGTATCTGGGATACCAAAATATATGGGAGAGTAGCGATCGAGATGGAGAGAGGCGAACATGATTTCTATTTATCCTAGATACATGTGAATCCACTTAGATACAATATACCTACAACAAATTACACCTAAATATGCCCTTATATATCTGATATACATGAATTTGGAGACATCAAAATTGATAAGAATACGTAATATTATCAACTAAAATATATTTAAATAATTAGCTCATAAACTAGTGAAATTTATGTAACTTCTCCCAAAATTAGATACGAGTTCATTTAGAGGACTATTCATGTGCAAAAATGACTTCCAATAGTCCTATGTATTGCTTGATAGAACATGATTTTTCTTTCTTTACTTCACGTATAATACAAGCTCATGGACCTAAATATTATTTTATTGGACTATTATATTCTTGAAAATATGGGAAATTACAATTTTCTAAAGGTGATGTCTCTAGTGTGTAACATCAGTTTGAGTTGATTTCAATTTAATAATTTTCTTAATTAATATAAAACTAAACTAATTAAATATTACTTCCTCCGTAGCTCCGTCTCATTTTATTTAGGTAGTTTGACTCAGCACGAAGTTTAAAAAAGAAAGAAAGACTTTTAAAATTTGTGGTACAAATGAATGATAGAAAATTGTGTGATTGTAAATAATTTCATTAAAGATAAAATAAATATTTTTACAATCACATTATTGTTTCATATAAAAATGTATTATTCTTTTTCGAACGAATTAAAAAATAAAGTAAGATACTTAGTTCCTCTGAATTTTTCTTTATTCAACACTGAACAAAACTAAATCAAAACACGAACATATGGTAAAGAGACATAATCTTAAATGGTTTTGGGTTGGATTTGATGTCTTGAGACCCAATCTTAATACTACCACAAAAACAATTTTTAGCGGCATTAAATGTTGACACTAATAAAGAGCGCTAAAGTTTTTATCGACATTAGTTAAGTGTCATTAGACCAATTTCGCTAAAGACTTTAGGGACATATACAAAGAGTAATAATTGCCGCTAAAAATACATATTTAGCGATAATTAAAAATTAAATGATCATTTTTGTTGTAGTGTAAATGGCTTTTGGTTGGATTTGATGTCTAATTGGTCTCCGTTTATTACTCATAATAATTGCATTAAAAGTAACTTGTACTAATTAATGTACTTAAAAGATAATAATTACCCAACGCATTATAACAACAATAAATTTTAGCGGCATTAGATATTGACATTAATAAAGAGTGCTAAAATATTTATCGGCATTAGTTAAGTGTCATTAGAACCAATGTCGCTAAAGGCTTTAGCAACATATACAAAAAGTGATAATTACCGCTAATTATCATTTTTATTACGGTGACGTTACTAACAAACATGCACGAGAAACTTTCAACTCTTCTTCAAGCTAATGTGTGTGAAATTACAAAAGACCTTAGAATTAAGCACCACTAGAAATCAA